CTGACTTGGTTTTAATAGAGTCGTCCTATTGTTATTAGGACTCTTATTGGATCCGAATGTTTTCTATAAGACGAGCCATATCAGCAAAGTTTACGTCGGCAAAAAGCCTACTATGTACCTACCGTTCTCTATCATAATGTATGGCATAGGTTGGCTGTGTATTTTTTAAGGGGTTTAACGTTCGTTGCCTATTCGAAATTTTTGAGTTCACACATTGCATTGCATAGCGAGAACACAGAAAAAAAAACACTGGCTCAATGCGTCATGATGGCCGCACGAACGATAGATATTTCAAAATGACTATTTTTTTTCGGTAGTACACACGTTTAGCGAGCGAAGCTATATTCCACATGGACGCAAAATTATACTTACCACTTCTTCTCTTTATTATTAAACAGATCGTTTTGTCAAGCCGATTTCGTACGACGAGCAAACTAATACTATGGCCGTGTTTTTCCCCACTTGCCGTCTAGCTTAAAACATGTTTATTGCAGTAAGTAACAATGTATAACAAACGGCGGTACCTCGATAGAAAGTATTGCAGTAAGTAACAATGTATAACAAACGGCGGTACCTCGATAGAAAGGTAAATCGCGATACTATAGTCACCACAGTGACCTAACATGAGTTAGGCATCTTCATTTTGACGTAACTGAAATTAGTTGCTTAGTAACCGGGCGTATCGACACCAAATTAGAGCAGGTAGACATAACGTTTGACAACCATTTTTGATTGTTGTTTATTGTGAAGAAAAAGAATAACATAAACAATTGGACAAAGTTATTTTTGGCAAACATGAACACGGCCTTCATTGTTATCACTTTATAATATATAGTAATATAATATACGTATATGTAATACATGTCGAGGAAGTCGCAGCTGCCAACAAGATAAATGAAATAAAACAGATACTGAAGAAAATCGGACGCAACAAAGGTACGCGGGCGTTCCTCACAAAAGGCTTCCTACTTTTAAAACGAAAAGTCAACAGTTAGCACGCGAAGGCAGTCCCTTATTTTTACCCCAGTGGCAGGTAGCTTGTATGAGGTCAACTAAAATCTGCTAATTAGACCGTGTCGGATGTCTACGAATCATTGCAATCGGGCCTGATTATTTCTGTAAATAAAAAGAAACTGTCGAAAATAGTTTACTACCATGTCGCCGTAGAGACAGAACTGTGGGTTTACTATTGCGATATTCTCAATAGAGCGATTATCTTTATTTTCGAATCTTTATATCGTTTCTACATTGAAAGGGCATCTATACTGAATTGCGTGCTCCACTCACTCTTACAGAAACAGCAATGCTTGTTCGCACAAAAATCGGGATCCGAGTTATCGAGTGACAAAGGCTTCAGTTCTAAAATGTTTGTTCTTTGCCGTTGACTTCAAGTGGTCCTTCACTTTGATACCAGACTGGTTGTGGAAAAATACGCATACTAAGGTATTTAGCGGTACATAACACAGTATCATATAAGGATTATACTGCGCACCGACAAGTCAAATATAGGATAGAAACATTTGTAAACATCTATTTGACGTCACGGTCAAAATAATCACAACGCTCAATCTTCATATATCAACCGTTCGTCCGATTTTATCCACGTTTACACATCATATTTACATGATGTAATCGCAAATAGATCTCTTTTCCTTTCTGTTTGCCTTTTCATTACGAACATTCTATGCAAGAGGAAACTAACATATAATCGGTGCACTCCAGTAGATGCAACACATTATTATGACGTCTAGTTAACAAAACAACAACCGTTTTAACACACAGACACAGCCTGATGTACGAAACGATTCGTACTGTGTTCCTACACGGATTTAGTACAACTATACATATTGCAAAAGCGGCTAGGGGAAGCCGCTGCTCAACACTGTCCACATTGCTTATTATGGATACACAAGACCAGTTAGGCGTCGGCGAAATGAAGAAAAAAAAAAACGGATAAATTCATTATAGGATGGAACTTGCGTCCACGTTTATTGCGTCTCTCGTTTCAACTCTGCAAAGGAAAAATATGGAGATGGCCAAAACTACCGGTGTTATTATTATCGATACTATGACGACGTTGCGCTATGATGCCACCCAGTGGTGCTTCTTCAATGCACTCTTAACCACTGGCTCTTCTTTATTTGTCGCTGAATTCTTGCCAGAGCTATCATACAATTCTGTAACTACAATTGGATTTTCATTGCTAGCTACCTCGAGTGTTCTTTATTTCTCATTCATAGATTCTGTTTTTCCCGTCTTCTAACACTGAATAAAGAGATGACCTCTCACAACATTATCGGGCACGAGTGGTAAGAAAAAATGTTATTTGCAATGACTGCTACATTCGCTCCGACACAGCTCTGATTTTTGGTAGACCGCCGCTACAGCGGATCCTCCAGCCTCCTCTCTCCCCCGTTACCGTTCAGTATCAAGCGTTTAGCGGGATAACGTGAAGTATCTAGCTGACCAGGCTGAAATCAACGGGAGTAAAGAATGATGATGAGGTTCCATTTCGACAGGTCATCGACACTCAGCCGGTGGAACTGCGACCAGCTCCTCGCCAGCGTTCCCGAACCATTAACAGAGTCAACAACTGTACTACAGTGGCAGCTCTTGCTCGAGGCAACTTAGCGGCGGCAACGGCCAGTTTGTCTGGAATGCTGGCAGCAGCTGTCGTAGTCGTGCTTCCCGATACTACTATACCCGATGCTATACTACCCACGAAACGGTCGCCATTTGTCGCTCGGCGAAAACAAGCGCAATCTTTCATACGCATAAGTAAATGCCCGGTAAAATCGCTTGGTCAGCTTAGTTCGTTGGGCTCGACGTGGCGCTGCGGTAGCGGCATGTCAGTCGGACAGACCTTTTTGAATCGACTGTGAATGAAGGACTAGTCAGACTACCTCGAATATTATGGCGGTCAGCTGGAGCATCTCGCACATACTATATGGCTCCAAATCTTCAATGTTTGGGCTTGAACTCAACGCAGTAGCTACTATATAGCTGCATTACGTAAGATCAACAATATGATGGTGGTCGCCGCGCGTCTTTGAGAAAGACATCATGCGCGCTATTGAAGTTGCTAGTTACATAGGGACGCCATGATCAATAGTGCTCTACATATATACATGTGTAAATGTTTTGCCTTACTATTTGATGTTTGCCAATTTTGTCTCAGGGAGGTTCGAAATAGGTGAAGCAACGGGGGCTTGGCCATAATCGTCAATATGCTGTCTTGGCTTAATCAATGTGTGGCGCCTACTGCAATCGATTCCAGCACTGATAAAGTACGACCAAACACTGGCAACTGGCTACGCAAATAACAGACACCTATTTTCTTTCCTTTTTTTAATTTTCGACCCCCTGCCATACCTTATGCGCAGTGAGTAATTGTAAATCTACAAAATCATTTTCGAACGTTAATCGCCGTAGCAACTCAGCTCACTTGAGCTCATTAGGTATACTATAAAAAAAGCTATAAGAAAAAATGGACTCGTCAAACGACGGTACAAAACAAACGCCACCGGCCTTTTGTTTTGTACCGCAACAGTCGATTACGGACGCTCCCATTAGGAGGCACGTAAATATTCAAAATAAATGCCTACCGTCAAATGAAAACGATAGTTCAACAGTAACAATGAAACTGCAGACGCGTAATATAAAGGAACGGCATTCGTGGTCTTCTGTTGCCAGACGACACCTCTACATATCTGGTCTAAACACTCGATCAGTACATGCAAACACCCAAATACGCAGTCCCAACTAGCCCAAGTAGGTACAGGGTCGCGCATAGTGAACTCATTTTTCAAGCAACTTACCCGCGATAGAAGCCTTAAGGGTTTCCATACCTTAGCTGATCATTGACAGCGCGGTAATGTGTCGATCACTGTCGTATTATGCTCAATAGATATTCCATAATTGGAAATAGTTCGGCCATCTCATCATGGCCTGTGTTTGTTTTCTCTGCTATAGCGTGGTGATAGTGCGGCGTGCAGTAACGCTCTTTGGCGATCTTTTTTTGGGCTGTTTTCATACGGCAGCAGCTATATTCGCGAACATTTATAACGTATTTACTATGCATGAGCCATCAGCACTGCTACCGCTTATTTACGCTGTCATTTATAATAACAACGTTGTTGCTGTTCCATGTTTAGAAAATTTACGTAATGAAATTTCTTATGATAAAGGCAACGGTTGTCTCAAGATGGGATTAAGGCTGATGTACACGAAGATCAGCCGTCAAAATTATGCATGAACGTTATTTAATCAGATACGTCTTGTGAATTGCTTTTCAGGTTTTTCAATGCAGTTCAAATACAGGTTAGGATAGAAATATTTTTGAGATTCAGACCATAGTTTGGGTTTGTATTATAAATCAAATTAGATATAATAGTTTTCTTAGGGACATCTCAGAAGGGCTAAATTTTATGACACGATTACTGCGCTTTTATAAATGATAGACAGATAAGTCCAGCGCTCAAATCTACAAGAAACCCCAAAGGTAACAGGTTTATGTTTATTATATGAAGAAATGTATTATCAGCACGATATACAACAACATACGCGTAACGGTATGCGGTATTACGACCCACTGAAACCAGCGACAAATTCTAGGCTAGAACCAAGCAAATGCGTTAATCAGTACAGGAAAGATTGGGTCAACATAGCTTTTCCATAATATGTTCTCATGTGTTTATCTTTTCGTGTACATTAGGTATGTAAATAAACCTATTTAAAAATCGTGTGATATACAAAAAGACCATATATCGAGTCCGTAATTCACAGCAGATATTTAGTACTTCACTTAAAGGAGCTTACATCGCATTACTTCAACCGTCGATCTTTGTTGGTCACGTTCGTTCGTTTTGCCGATCCAAATCCGTCTGATTGCAAACGATAATTTCTTCCTTTTCGCCTATTGAGGTGCATCTGTATGCTAAAGAGAATTACTAAAGCCTGCTATGGATATTTTGCGAACAGGGAAAAACAGACTCAATTTTAACTCTGTTACACAGAAATTGAAAGGGATATACATAGCTTGCTGATATCCTTATGCGATTTGGATTATATGAATATATCGTTTTTGATAGGAAAGTGATATTTAATAAGCTGCTACACAACAATCGTTTCACGTAACGTCGTGAAGAGCTACAAGTGTGTGGCTTTTAAGCTTTCGATGGCGACGCCCACCAGGGGGCAACAACAAGATACACGTACAGGTGTGCATATACTTTTCTTTCTTTTACCGTACTAAAAATCGTCTGAAGTTCTTCAGTGTTACGTCATTTCCAGATACTGTGCTTCTCTCATATGTGTGCGTGCTTTTTATTGAGCAACTACACGTAAAACTGATAGATAGCTTTTATACAAATTGTCACTGACGGCAGTTTGTATGATACGTCTGTCTGTCTGCCTGGTATTTCTATTGATAAAAATGGTTTTTCAAGTCGAGTGTAGACAGCGTTACCCGCCCATCGTCCTAACCACTTGAGTTGATAGGCTATCCAGAGTTGTTGTGCATCTATCACCATATACGTTTGCGTTTATGTCAATACCTGTCTGCCTACCGGTGTTCGGCTGCATGTCGGTCTGCTTTTGTCCGTCTCACGATGATGATAGCGGTGAAATGACCAAAGCTTTCTACTTCCGTCTACTACACGCGACCTTTCTTTTCCAGTAGTCGACACCGGTAGCCGACATCGTCCAGCACGAGATCATTCACCAACGCCAAATAAACAGCAAAAACAGCAGCAGCAGTAAAAGGAAAGAGGAGCACACCGCCCACGCGTGATGAAGCAGCGACGGGAGCTTCTTCAAGAATAGTAGTATATTGGCGAATTCGTTGCCTCGGTGGCAGCGGCAACGCGTACGTCATGAGCATCAGATCTGTTCAACGATGCCCCCTTCTCCCCTTCCCTTGACGAAAAAAAATGAACCTCCTCTCACTTGACTGTCTCAAGCTGTTCATTGATATCTGCAGGTATATGGCATTGCGTACTGTTAGTTAGCCTGCCGTTTCACAGTTATGTCTTTGCCCCGTTATTTGCGGGTTTAAAAAATACCGCCCAGGCCAATTGCCATAGAAACTAAACTACCTGCGAATGACCTCACAGGTTCTACCGAGACAACTATTACTGATATCATTACTGCTACTTTGAGCCGTTACTGAGGCTCGTGCCGGTCATGTTGGCGCTGGTGGAACCACAATAGGCAGACGTTACATGCAACACTCGAATTACGTTACCGCTGACATTTACTATTGCCATGACAAGCGGCAGGGTTACGGACATGTTTGAGTTGTCGCTGCCGTAGTGTTTTCTTTACTCTTTGTTACTTTACTAAAGCTATGACAGACATCGCTTTATGGTCATTGCAGTTACCTTATGAATAATATGGAGCACTACAGTTTACTACGAAAACCGCTATCCATGCCACGGAGAATGATGATCCCTACTATAGATGACGTGGTGCTTGAGGCCCTCCGACTCGGTCGACGGGACTGTTGCCATTTTGTCTGGCTGACCAGATCAGCAGCGCTCCTAAATCATTCGAAATGCCCATCATCCTTTTCTTACCACCATTGCCATCTAACTATCACTACAACTGCCCATTCAAAGTTCCCCACCAAAGCTGGCTAGATGAAGATAGACGGAGGCGAATTTAAGAAATCAGAGACCCTGGCATCTATTCCAGCCCCATTTTTCCCTATCTTGCCCAAACCGCAAACGTTATTCAGCCGTGAATCGTATGAAATGTCTGCGAATCGTTGACTGTTTCGGCAGTGCTGCTGCTGTTAAGGCTTTTCTGCATTTCCTTCGCTGCATATATAGAGTGAGATGACCGACGCTAGACGAAATACAGGCCCAGCGCTTGGTGAGAACATCCAACTCGACACGCTTAGTCAATGATGATGATGATTTTTACCACCAATAAATTGTGCATAAACATTGTTTCGTGGTATGTGTACCTATATATACACACGTCATAGGATTTACAATGCTGCAGGTCAGGTATATCACTGGTGTTTTTTATATCTGTTGAATTCGAGTTGTAGAAAAGCAAAAGTTGTCTCAATTTAAACTCTATTTTCCTACTTTGGTTGCATTACTAAACACTACAATCGGGGCTAGCCTATAAAAGCTCAAGACCGTGATCTAGAAAAGTCACAGTAAATCATCCAGGTATGATTGGGGTGAAATTCTATATACAAATGCTATTAGGTGTCTTTTTTATTTGCTTATATCAATCAATCCAAAACAGTCCATAAGGTTGCGTTTTTAATGTTTATTTTTGCGTGAACTTTTGTTATGTACGGCTACGACTGAACAGTTTGATTCGTTAGCTCCGTGTGGCTTTTTCTTTCGAACCGCTTACCTATAATCCGAACAATCGCAGGAGAAAGAATCACCAATGAATCTTAGTAGAAGCCAGTAGCTCAATGATCGCTTCTTTTTTCCGTTTTTTACATCAGCAGCGAATGCCACTACCAACGTTTTCACAAGGGGGGGAAGAAAGACACAAATACGACAGTGGCGATGTTAAACTAGATCACCAGTAGCAACAAAAGCAATAGCAAACGAATCACAATCACTTGATCGGTTACGTCATTGAATGATAGAAATGCCATTTATTTTTCCCCCATTGTTGTGTGGAGCTCTGAAACTATTGCATTCTTATTAGTAAAAATGCTCAATGCTCAGCAAGTGATGACATTTCGTAAACGTCCTGTCCGGCCCATTAATTAGGGCTTGACGAAGACAAACGAGGAAGGAAGCACGAATTTCGACTAAAAATTGGCCAACTTGGATTTGTTCCGGCAAGAACTTGTCGTGCACGAACGGCTTAGGCCGCGTTGAGCACATACACTACAAAACTAACAAATAATCTGCTGTCCGATTTAACTGATCCGAAATATGAAAAGCTGGTCTGTTGCCACGTGAGCGAAATGGTCGATTCTGCCGCTGTTACCGTTGAAGTCGAAACCCCCAAGATTTGTATTGTTCCATTGCATTTAACATTGGAACCCAAATTCGACCGCAGTGCGCTATGACTGCCGCTATGTATTCCTATCGGCGTAAGCATAACAAAAAACTTTTGTAAACCGAATTATATCGCCTGACTACCTGTTAGAACATCGGTTGGTATTGAGGTGCTCGAGCTACAGAATAAGACTGAATACCCAGAAGAAAGATCAATTTTTCTGCCATGTATTCCATTTTATTAGTGAACTATTTGCGAGCGTAACACGAACGGCCCTTCGTGCCAATACGAAAAGATCTGATTGCTAGAATTCCTCTGGCATCCGTAATAGTAAATAACCAGCTTGAGACGGTTCATTCGATCTCCTAATATCCTATAATAGTAATAATAATTACAATGTATATTGATGCACATACAAATCGAAATTATAGTTACAATGACTGTACATTTTTATCAACAAATATGGGACTTCCGTTTAAAAATACTTAATAAATCCTTGTCTATTTGTTGGCATTGGGAAGTAGAAGTATCGCTTATTAGAGCACCGTTTCAACGCATTATTTAATAATTCCGCTGCGCACCTAATAAAGAAAAAAGGTAGCGCAGGCCTGACACATTTTCATCCATATGCCTGATGCTATAGTAATCAGGCTAAAATATTTGAAGATTAGTTGGTCAAGGCACGTAATATACATCAATGGACGCACATGTCCTACACAATGCGTGCCAATTCCTCTCTGTTTCTATAACGGCCCTGTCATATAGTCCAACAACAACAGCAGGACGCCTTTTTAGAACACGCGATTGCTATCTTGCGTCGAGGCTCAGAAGATTTCATCTTTCATATGCTATTTTCTCTTATTCTGCTATAGAATCAGCAAGAACAGCTAACATATCTGCTTGTATATTGCACGTATTATTAGCGTGTTACTGGCTT